CCTCAGTGTCGCGCCCGTACCGGACCGGGACCAGCAACGGGATCGCAACCCTTGGTGTTGCCCCCGCTCCTCGCTCAGCCAGTGAGCCGCCGGTCTGCACATGGGATCCGAACCCTCGGCGGGAGCGCTGCCACGCTTCCCAAGCGGCGCACTGTAGCAGTGCACCACCGGGCCGGCCCCCATTTAGATTTTTAATCATCTGGAAATTACGTTTTTTGTGTTAGGATATGCAGTCTAATTTTCTCGTGTAAAGTAGATGCCACACCATGTGGACGTCTTGGGTTGGCTAGCCCTGACGTGCTGTTTTCGTCATAACTAAATGGTCGTCTGTGTATGATGTATTTTTGAACCATTCAGTGTGTCACTAACTTCTTTGTCCTGGTCTCCCTCAGACCCCGTTGTTTCAGCTGCTGTGCTCTGTGACACGTTTTCTCCTCTATTAGCACAGTCCCTTCATGTTGCTCTCTGTGGGAATAGTGCTGGTTGTTCCCATGCTGTTGCTTTTCTGGGTGAACTTGGGGGTCACTGTGTCAAGTTCAGGACACATACACCACATCCCAGTGGAATTTTGATTGGCTTTTATTTTTTAAGTGATTTAAAAAAAAATTTTTTTTTGAGTCTCAGGTCTGTCTGTCCAGTCTCTCATTTGAGTTGTCTTGATGTTAGCTCCTTAATTTCCCTTTGGTCATTGCTTTTTTTTTTTTGTTTTGCTGTCACCATCACCTCTACGCTGGGCTTTCTAAGCAGCCCATCACAAGGTCTCCTTGTAAGCACTCTTGGCCCCTCTAGTCTGTTCTCCGCACCAGCCCAGGCATTGTATAAACTGTTCTCTGGGCTCAGAATACTCCCCTGCTGGCTCCCCTCTTCACCCCATTTACTCTTCCTCATCCACAGGTCTGTGTCACTTGTCACTTCCTCAAGGAACCTCCCTGAGCTTCCTGTCTAAGTAGAATTCTCCATCTGTGTTTCATGGCACTCTCTGCCAGTCTAGTTGTAAGTCTGCATTTGCCTTGTCCTTGGAATGCAAGGTGGGCTTGCGAAGCACAGGGGGGCTTTCCAGGTACTGGGGTGCTCTCTAGGCACAGGTGAGCTTTCTAGCACAGGGTTGGGGTGCTCTCTAGGCATGGGGGCTACATTTGGTGTTGTAATTCTCCTACCCTTAGCCTAGTGCCTGGCCCAGAGGAAGTGCTCCTTAAATACTTGGTGATGTCAGTGAGCTTGGTGTTTTCCTCTATTTATGTGTGTCTTTAAATGCAGCCTAAAGCTTCATGTGGTATTATACAGCTCTTGTCGAGCTTATGCTTGTAACATTTTCCATTTGTTTATTTTTTTTGGTGGTAGAGAAAAGCTGTTGCTTTTGGAGTGTTCTTATATTTGGCCGTCTGGTTCAACTCATTCCTCCGTTTCCTGCCTGTCTCCTTGTTCTCCCTCCCTCTCCTGGTTGGCTTCATCCTCAGGCTGGTCTTGTGCTAGAAGGTTGCAGCAGTCCTGAGCCTCATGTCTGACCCTATCAGCTTTCAGAGGAAGAAAGAGAAGGTTGCCTCCAAAAGACCGTCCAAGAGCAGGGAGGGACTTTCTCAGAAGCCCCGTGCTTTTGCTTTCTTCCCAGGGGCTCACAGAAGGAGGGCCCCAGGCCCCTGGTGAGTCAGTGGCTGATCTACTAGGCTCCAGTCAGGCCCAACTTTGGAGTGGGGTGCAGGTAGGTACAGCTTCTTCTGGGCTGACTCCCCACCTCCAGGGCTGCTGGTGGGAGGTGTGGTCACTTTGCACAGCGAGGATTCTGCTGGAAAGGTGGCAGGGGTGAATGGGCCCTGGGTGAAAGTCTCCACTGGACATCCATCAGGATGGTCACCTGGCTTTTCTCCATTAACCCTATCCAACACATCAATAATATTACAGCATTTTCTGAAGTTGAACCATCCTTTCATTCTTGGAGTAAATCCTACTTATGTGTGTATTCTTTGACTATGCTGATGTATTTTGATCTGCTAAGATTTTATTTTATTTTCTGTATTCATAAGTGAGATTTGTCTGGGCTACAGAAAGTCTTAAATATGGGAGTTAATATTGTGAAAAGATCCTTGTATTGAAGGTTAATTAGTTCCTTTGTGACCTTAATTGAGTCACTTAACCTAAGACTGTTTCTTCTTTACACCATGGTGATCACTGCCCTAATTAACTCAAGCTGTTTTGAGGATCAAATGGGGTAATGTATTTGAAAGCTCTCTTTAAACACTAAAACTTAAAGTTAGAACTTTGTCTTGTGCTGTATATTCAAGATTTTTGAAATTTTTGTGAGTTTCTTCTAATGAGGAGACAGGTTCAGAGAACATTAACAACTGAGTTTTCTTTCAGCTTTCTTCATAACCTGTAATAAAAAAACCCCCAGAGTTATGCAGAGGGAGAGGCCCTGGGAACATGATTTGTAAACATTACGTTATTGGTGTTCAGATATTAGGTTTCTGCTTTTCATAATATCCTTAGGGAACTGGGGAAGATTTGATATTTTCTGAGATTGCCATAAAATGCAAGTTATTGCTGGTACTGTTGCCCAATTATTCCGTACTATTTTACTTAGGCTTTAGTAATTGGAAAAAGATTAGATGTCAGGACTTTGTATTTTGTTGATTGTATTATGAAAGTCTTCTCTTTAATCATTTCTTTTATTTCTAGTATTAATCATTAGCTCCAAGCTGTTAGGAGAAGAAACTAATGGTGGATTCCTAACTTAAAGAAATAATTACTTCGGTTTCAGTGGGATTTGACAGTTTTGATATACCTGAAAATTGAAATGAGTTATGTAGCTATTCGAGGCATGTGAATGAGACACTCAAGGAGACAGAAGGCCAGACAGAATTCAGGGTCCATTATCCTCACCCCTTCCACTCTGTGGTGCCCTTGCCTGCCCTTAATAGGCTCTGGACTTTGTTCCAGGACCCTTCTGCCTCTGGCCAGCCCCTTCCCTCTTGTGACTTTTCCCACCTGCAGGTATTTGTAAAAGCATCAATTACTTGTATTAGTGTACCTTGAAGACTTTATTGTTCTTGGTGTGTATAACTCAGCTACGTTCTTAATTAATGCTGTGTAAAAACAAGCTTATCTCCGTGAAACAATTTCTTTCAAAACCAATACTAAGAAAATCACCTTCCTATAGGTGTCCTTAAACAGTAAATAGTGAGAGTAAGACAGGATGAAGGAAAGAAAGAAAGAAAAAACAATTAAGGTGGTCAAGGTGGGGAAATAGCCTTCAGGAGAGGGGGAAGGGAGAGAGAAATTGAAGGAAGTGGGAGGGAAGGGGGCTGGTGTCCTCTGTACTTCATCTGAGGAGGAAGAAGTGATGGTGCCTCATCTGTCCCAGGGTGGCTCCAGGGACACTTGGGGTACATTTTGCAAAGAGGTACTCTCTAGAATTTAAATGTAAACAGATAACGTTTGGCTTTATTTGAATAGGATGGTAACTTAACTTCTCTCATTTATTGAGAACAATCAGTATCTGAAATTTTTATCATTTAGGTTTATTATAGTTTTATTGATGGGACTCACTGCACCCTAATAACAGTGGTGGGATATGTTTAAGCCCTGGGGGAAGCTTGCTGACCTTTGATAACCCTGCTTCTCCTTGTCCCTTTTTTTGTCAACAGAAGAGTTACGGAAGTTGAGCTGGTCTGGAATCCCTAAGCCGGTTCGTCCAATTACATGGAAGCTTCTCTCGGTAAGTGTCTGTGTGCCGCTTGTCAGCGTGGTCTTTCTCCAGGGAGCACAGCTATAGTTGTCCCCGCCTGAAGTGTGGCCCCCCAGCCACAGTGCAGACATCTGCCCTGTCTTTGTCACACAGTGATACAGACCTTTGCCTTGACTAAGATGACATTTTCCATTCTTTGCTTAATTTCAAGCTTGGTTTGACAAGGCTGGCAGAAAATAAGTAGTAACTTATGACAGCTGTATTCTTTTTCCCTGATTTTATTTAAAAAAGTCTTTATAATATGTTCAAACCTGTGATATAGAAAGGTTCCAGCATAGAGGGTTATTTTAACTCTGTGGAGTCAAAACAGAAATGTGTCTCAAATATGTCGAAAAGAGGGAGATATGTTTGACCAAGGTTTTTCTTTTTCTTTTTTAAATATTAGTAATGATGTTAGCAAAAAAGAAAAAAAGGAAATTGATTTTAGAAATAGTTTGCTTTTCTGGTCAACTAGTGGAGTTCTGGCTCCCTCCAGCCTAGCACTGAATCGCCTGTCTGGAACCCTCTGGAGAGATGGGGTTGCGATGGTGGTCATCGGGACGCCCACGTGTTCTTAACCCTGGCTTAATACTGGAAGTGAGCTTGGCCCTGCTGGAAGTTTCAGAATAGTTTATAGACAGCTTTCTTCTCGTTTCTTTTCTTAGTATTTTTGGAACTAAGTCAATAGGGAACTCTAAGTGTTTAATCTAAATTGGGTCTGACTTTCAGTATTTAAAAGACTCTTTCCTGCTAATGAGTCTTAATAAATTTGCAGCTTAGTACCTCGTAATCCTAAATGCAGATGCAGCTCCAAACAGCGAATATTTATTGATTAAATATTCTCTTGCAATTAAAGTTAGACCTGCTGCGATTGCTTGTATTTTTGTTTTGTGTTTTTTATTTTAAGGGCTTATATCCAGTTTTCCAAATGTCCTCTAAGATAGGTTATAAGTTTTCCAGATTAATTTGTAGGGAGTTTTGATGAAAATATCTTGAAGATCCTTTGTAGCAATTTTATATTTATTAAGGATGTGCCACGTCTGGTGGAAAGTCTTACGTGAGTTATTTTGTACCGTTCTTTCTCCTTTAGTTCTCAGTCTCCACAAGTCATAGTTACGAGGCCCTGATATATGCTGCACAGTGATGACGTGGGAGTGTACACTCTCTGTGCGTATTAAGGATGTGCCACGTCTGGTGGAAAGTCTTACGTGAGTTATTTTGTACCGTTCTTTCTTCTTTAGTTCTCAGTCTCCACAAGTCATAGTTACGAGGCCCTGATATATGCTGCACAGTGATGACGTGGGAGTGTACACTCTCTGTGCTTCAGTGGGCAGGGGAGCAGAAGGAGGTGGTTGTGAGTGGGAGTGTGGGGGATGTGGGTGGAGTCTGCACCCAGGAATGCTGGCAAGCAAGGGAAAGAAACCTGGGTGTTCTCCAGCCCATGTATCCATTTAGCTATTGCTGGTTACAAGGCCCTTGCTCAGGAGACAGAGGTGAACTGGATGCTAGCCCATGCCTAGGAGGAGGCCGGGTGCAAACCTGAATCAGGATGGTGGCAATGTGGTCTGAAACTACATGCAAGTGTGGACCAAGGGTGGAGGGTGGAGTCCAGTAGCAAGGGGGCAGGTTAAGGGCAAAGGTCAGCTTCATAGGAGAAGAGGCTTCACACCTGGAGTCTGCAAGGCCCTGGCAGGTGGGAAAGCAGGAGAGGGAACTGGGAGGACTTGCAACACAAGGGACCGGGGTGAACATGGTAGTTCTCAGCCCTCTCTTGGGCTTGGCTTGACAGATGAGTAAAAATAAGTGTGAGGTCAGGGAGCAAGGCCCGTCCTTTCAATGGTGGGGGATGGAGGGGCAGGTCCAGGGGAGTGCACACTCAGGATGATGCCAGCCAGGCCTCCTTGGGCAAGGTGGTGTGCTTACGTGGCATCTCAAAAGGGGTGTCAGTGTTCCCCAGGTGAGGGAGATGGGGAGGTCACAAGGCCCATGGGATGTGGTGGGAGTGGGATAGGCAGGAGCAAGTCTGGGGTGAGCTGGCTTGTGCAGGAATTGGTGGGAGGGACTTCGGCAGCTCGAGTTGGACACAAGTGTTGGTTTTTTTGCAGGGAGCAAATGCTCCTCATGCCTTTGCCATGCTCTGGGTGCTGTGCTGGAGCAGCCAATGCAGGGTCATGCTGCAGGTGGCTCTGGGCCTCCGGGGGAAGGGCACCCACCTGTGGAGGGGTGCTGGTCAGGACTGGGAGTGGACAGGTGGAAGCTGGTCCGAATTGTCGGCTGCTGTCTTTCATCTTCAGAGAGCTGACCCAGGAGCTCACGTGTGAGTCTCTTCTTGCCTGATGGCTGCTCCAGGCATAGTCAGCCTAAGCATGTTTTCTGTAATCAAAGATCTGGGGATCATAGTAAACGATGCTGATCACCCATCCTCGACTCAGCAGGTGTTTCTCAGACATCTCGCAACCCTCGGCGCTGCGCCCGCACCTTGCTCAGCCAGTGAGCGGCCGGTCTGTATGTGGAATCCTAACCCTCGGCAGGAGCGCCCCCGCGCTTCCAAGCGGCACACTGTAGCAGTGCGCCACCGGGCCGGCCCGAAGAGCATTTTTTTTTTTAACTGATGAGTAGAAAATGCTGCTTCAATGAAGAAAGATGAAGATGTGGCTCTTGTCACTTATGAAGAACTGACATATTCTAGAACATGCTATTGTACTACCAGTAATGCTACTTAACATTTAGATTTCATGCAATCAGAGTAGTAATTTCTTAAAAATTAGTGCTGTAGAGAATCATACTTCTGGCTCCCTTTTAATAAGTATTCGGAAACATCAAACAAAAACTAATTAAACATCTAACATTTACGCTAAGTACAATGGTTAAAACAAGTGAAACCCCAGTATCATCTTTTCTTCTTTCAATATATCGAGGAAGGTTTGCATATGAACACAGTGGGAGGGGCAATTTGATTTTTGTGTCACCAGGACAATTTTAGATATAAGTATATGCATGCATTGTTTTACATTTATGATTAGTGTTTTTATAGCATGCTAATACAGCAATTAAGTTTTCTGTAGTTCTGTCATTTAAAATTCATTGCATACTTGAATATATTTCATTTGCATAATTTCTAGTCTTGCTTAATTATTGAAAGGCCTCAATTGCGTGTGTATGTTTTTCTTCAGGAATGGGAATGCCAGGAGTATGTGTGGGGTTTTTTATTGCCTCCATTCTCATTATACATACCTGCCTTTTAGAATTTGTGTTTTAATAGTTAAGTTAAAATTTGGGGAACAAGAAGCATTTCTAGGAGTACCTGTTCATGTTTGGGGAGTTTTTGGCATCACTGCATGCAGTTGCTGTTAGGCTGTCCACCCACTGTGCAGCTGGTCACTTTGGTGGCCCAGCTGCCTGCATTGCAGGCCGGGCCCCCGGCCTGGCATGCAGGGCACCCTCTCGCAGCCCTGGCCACAGCCCCGCTCCTCTGCCAGGCTCTGTTCTGGACTTGCCCAGAGCCAGCCTGGACATGGTTCCCTGTGCACTGCATGCTCTGTCTCTCCCTCTCCACCTTCTCCATTATCAAAACTAGACCCCAAGCAGCATGCTGGCTCACGCCCACTTGTCACAAGTTAGCTAGGACTGCCCTCTTCTGCCACGCCCCAAGGGCAGGCCTCTCCCTTGCACATCACATTGATACCATCATTCATTCCCACAAGAAGTATGTGTTGAGTGTCGACTGCGTGCCAAACAGTGCTCTGAGCCCCTGGGGGTAGCTGAGAGCGACAGGGTGGAACATTCTGCCTCTTGGAGCTCACGTTCTGGTGGGAGGAGGCAAACAGTAAACCAAATAGGGCAACTTGGTAGTCTCTCAGAAGGTGATGAGTGCCATAGAAAAAACCTGCAACAAGGCAGGGGATTGTGAGGCTCAGGGAGATGAAGTGCTGGGAGGTAGGTGGTCAGGTGGGCCACATTGAGAAGTTGCCATTTGAGCAGGGAGTTACAGGAGGGCATGGCCATGTAGGTGCCTGGGGTGCATTCCAGTCTTACTCTTTGAAGAGGCCATACCTTCTCCAGTGCAGGGCGTGCCATCCGGGTGCAGTGCAGGCCAGACAGAGTCACCTCCTGAATGGAGCTGGCCCAGGTGATGAAGAGGATGCAGTAAGTAACAAAAGCAGTGCCACCTGGATCCTGATAGAGCAGAGGGAGGGTAGCGGCTGCAGAGAGAGGTGCTGCTGGGGAGAGGCTGCAGCCTGCCCTGCTGAGGTGGAGAGCAGCGGACGATAGCTAGTTCTAGAAAGGGCTAGCTGGTAAATGTTTTAGGCTTTGTTGCCCATCCGTCTGCTGCAGCTGCTCAGGTCTGCCATTGCAGTTGAAAGCAGCCACAGAGAATCCACGTAAATGAAGGCATACAGCTGTGTTTCCATAAAACTTTATTCACAAAGGCAGGGGTGAGCTGGATTTGGTTGGTGGTGGGTAGTTTGCTGACCCACAGTCTAGAGGGAGCGGGTCCCAGCAGAGAGAGGCAGTGAGGCAGGAGAAGATGTGGCACTTAAGGAACATTTAAACAGCTTAGAAGCCAGAGAGGCTGGCACATGGACAGTGTCACTTTTGGTCAGAGAGTAGGAAGGGCCAGGCCGGGCAGAGCCTGGATTCTTATTCTGAGCATGGCTCGAAGCCACTGGAAATTGTTTTTTGGGGGAGGGGATGATGTTAAAGTGGTCTGATTTTCACAGGGTCTCTGTGGCTGTTGTGTGGAGAAAGGACTGTTGGGTGGAGAAAGTGGAAGGGGGTCAGTGTCCCACCGCAGACGGACAGCTCCCCGTGAGACTGGCCACCCTTCAGCATCTCTGTATTCCCAGTGCCAATCAGAGATAAGGGTGGGGTGTGGCGAAGGAATGTTGTTGTGTATATGTCTGTAGGTGACTTCTCAAGTGTGGATTTGCTCCCCAAGTTTTCTGTGAGTTGGAGTAAATTGGCACTGCTGAAGAGTGGGGGGTCTCAGG